AAGAGATATGATAAATCAAAACAATATTTATTGCTTTTTTGGTATTACTACCATCTTTTTCTCCATCTCATTACAAACTCTTGCTTCTCCTACACTCCACTTTTGCCACCACGACCAGAGGGATGCTCTTTTGGAATTCAGAGACGAGCTTCCCATTGATGGGGATTATCTTAGTTCGTGGAACAAGAGCGGTGATTGCTGTTTTTGGAAGGGTGTCAAGTGCGATGATATATCTGGTCAGGTGATTTCACTCAACCTTAGTGACACATTTCTTAACGGCTTGTTGAAAACTAATAGTAGCCTTTTTAGGCTCCAATATCTTCGCCACCTAAACCTTAGCGATTGCAATCTCCAAGGAAAGATCCCTTCTTCACTAGGAAACCTATCTCGTCTCACATTTCTTGACCTTTCTTTTAATAGTTTTGTAGGTGAGATTCCAGCTTCAATAGGCAATCTAAACCGGCTAAGAACCCTTAGCCTTGGGTTTAACCTTCTCAAAGGAGATATTCCTTCTTCATTAGGAAACCTTTCTCGTCTCTTAGATCTTGAACTAGGGACTAATCAGTTGGTAGGTGAAGTTCCGGCTTCCATCGGTAACCTAAAGGAGCTAAGAGTCTTGATACTTGGCGTTAACAGCTTAAGTGGCAATATTCCTATTTCCTTTGCCAATTTAACCAATCTTTCCTATCTTGACATCTACTCTAATAACTTCATACCGTCCATGCTTCCATCTTACATGAGTGGATTCCACAACTTGGAGAATTTTGATGTTAGTATGAACTCATTTTTCGGGCCTTTCCCTAAATCCTTGTTCTCGAATCATTCGTTACAAACAGTTGATTTGGGAGGAAACCAATTCACGGGACCTATAGAGTTTGTGAATACATCTTCTTTGTCATCTACGCTTCGGTATCTATGCCTTTCTGAAAACAGATTTGATGGCCCAATCCCAAAAACCATATCTGAATTTCAAAACCTCCAAACGTTACGACTTAGCAACAACAATTTCACTGGGCCGATCCCTAGGTCTATATCAAAGCTAGTCAACCTCAAACGGTTACAACTTAGAGGCAACCATTTCATTGGGCCAATCCCTAGGTCTATGTTAAAGTTAGTCAACCTCGATCATCTTGATCTTTCCAACAACAATTTGGAAGGTGAAGTACCAAGTTTCTTATGGAGATTGGCGACCCTGAGGCTTTCTCACAATTCTTTCAGCAGTTTTGAAAGCTCTCCACAAGAAACACTGATCCAAGAGTTGCATCTGAGCTCGAATTCATTCCGAGGACCATTTCCTCATTGGATATGCAAGCTTAAAGGGTTAAGCTTGTTAGATTTGTCCAACAATCTCTTCAACGGCTCCATTCCGCCATGTTTAAGGAATCTCACTGTTTCTTTGAAAGTGTTGAAACTGCGTAACAACAGTTTCAGTGGAACTCTTCCAGATATATTTGCCAATGCTACAAAGCTAAGATCATTCGACGTAAGTCGCAACCAGCTGGAGGGAAAGTTTCCAAAGTCGTTGATAAATTGCAAAGCTCTGCAATTTGTGAATGTGGAAAGCAACAAAATCAAGGACAAGTTTCCATCATGGTTGGGAGCTCTGCCATTACTAAATGTTCTCTTCCTCAGGTCAAATGAATTCTATGGGCCGTTGTATCATCACCACATGTCCAATGCTTTTCAGAGTTTAAGAATCATCGTTATATCACACAATGGCTTCACTGGAACTCTCCCACCAAACTATTTTTCCAACTGGCGTGAAATGACCACATTAACCGAAGAAAATAGCCAGTATATGGATGATTTTGCGAATTATTCTCGTATCGATCAGTCCATGGAAATGGTGAATAAAGGAGTAGAGCTCACGTTTGACCGGATCAACCAAGACTTCAGAGCCATTGATTTTTCTGGAAACAAAATTTATGGCAAAATCCCTGAATCCATTGGCTTCTTGAAGGAACTGTGTCTGCTTAACTTGTCAGGTAACGCGTTCAGAAGCGAAATCCCAAGAGTCTTGGCAAATTTGACAAAGCTCGAGACATTAGACCTATCACGTAACAAGCTGTCTGGTCAAATCCCTCAAGATCTTGGTAAACTCTCATCTCTGTCATACATGAACTTCTCCCATAACCTTCTCCAAGGTCCAGTACCACGAGGCACACAATTTCAAAGGCAAAATTGTTCTTCATTCGCAGACAACCCTAGACTCTCCGGTCTCCAAGATATATGTGGAGAAATCCATGTTCCGAATCCTGCACCATCCCAACAACCGGAGGAATTGTTAGAGCCGGAGGAACAAATGTTCAACTGGGTAGCATTTGCAATAGCCTATGGACCTGGTGTATTTTGCGGATTGGTGATCGGACATATCTTCACTTCACACAATCATGAGTGCTTCACAGAAAGGTTTGGAGGGAGAAAAGTCAGAGTCACTAAACGTGCTCGTTAAGCCCATCTCTTGCGGTCTCGCTAATAAGCATGTTGTCAATGTCTTGTTTGTATTTGTAATGAATATTCCAGGTGTGATCTCCGAAACACTCGTTTGTGTTTCTTTGTAATTTTCTGTTTTATGGTTTTGTAATAAACGTCTTTGGTGGTATTGATATAACTTGTCTTGAAAATGTGTACGTTTGTGTTTTGCAATTCTCACTAGTAGTGTACTATAAAATATATATATCTTCTGATTTCTTAAGAGTTAGTGGAATTGGGTTGATTTGTATATGCTTGGGTTATAACCAATTCAATTTTCAAATTCAGATAAATCAGAGTCTCATGTGTTTCTTCTCTAGGTTGTTGTTGATTGATAGGTGCAAGTGGTTTCCAGATCAAACTAGTTCTCCTTATCACTTACTTGGATCACAGGTCATCCTTAAATTGATGTTATTACTTGTAACCATTGGTGTTTGTTGTTACATAATTTATTAAGTTATTTTCTCTAACATGTCACTTTGTACAAAGACGGTTGTGTGGACTGTGCAGAGTAGGGTCAGTCAGTTTTGCCTCCCGTTCATGGCTTGGATCTCAAACCATCTCTTTTGGATCTATTATGACCAAGGCTCTAATCGAGATCTCTCAGGGTGGTGTTTGTTTGTGTAGTGAAGATTAGCATATACACATGGAGATTGCTTGCTTGTGCTTTGTGACGGAGTGATAACTTTTCAGAAAATGGAGATGTTGGATT